AGGCATGTGGGGAAAACCTTTCGTCCCAGCATTCAGGAGGCAGAGGAAGGAAGACCTCTGAGTTTGAGGTCAGCATGGTCTACAGAGCAAGTTCCAGGGCTCAGAGAGAAACCCTCTCTTGAAAAACAAACAGCCAATGAAGCTTAACCATCACACCAACTTCAGCACTTGAGCTTCTTGAAGACAGCACAGTACAAGTGTCTGCTGCTAGGAAGACTTGATCTTGTTTAGTGTGACAATGTACATATGAATATGTTTGTCAACTTCTCTCCATCATTTGATTAGGAGCAAGTCATAGCCTACCACACTCAAGGAATAGAGAACTATCAGAAGGCATGGATGACAGGCCATCTTGGAATCAGTCTACCACATTACTCAGGAGAAATGAAACATGCTCACACAATAACATGCACACAAATGTTCACAGCAATTTTATTTATATTAACCACGAGCTAAAAAACCCCACATATCCATTAATAAGAAGATAATTATGGGAGATTCAAAAAAAGAACATACGGCAATAAATTCAAACAACCAACTGATGCAAGCAACAACATAGATTTTAAAAAGCCAGCTTAACTTTCTATAACACAGATAAATTACACCTCAATAAATATGTTTTAAAAATATTTGGGGAATTATTTATAAAGCAATAAAATAATTATGAAAATAGTCAACAGTACGGATAAAAAATAAATAAAAATAAAAATATCTGGGGGCCAATGAGATGGTCAGTGGGTAAAGGCTCTTGTCTCAAAAGCCTGACTAGCAGAGTTCAGTCCCTGGGAACATGTAAAGGTGGAGGAGACAACTGACCCCGCACAGATGCCCCAGACAAATTCAACAGACACACCATACACAGGCACACAATTAAAACAAAGTTTAAGGGACGGTGGAAAAGGCTCAGTGGTTAGGAGCATTTGCTGCTGTTGGAGAGGACCCAGTGTTCATGACAAAGAGGTACCTATGACTTCCAAATCTTGGGAGACCCAATACCTCTGACATCTGCACACTCATGTGCAGACACATACACATAATTTAAAATAAAAAATTAGATTCTTAATAAAAATAAAATTAAAAACTTAAAACATAACATCTACATTAAACAAGAGCAACCCATTTAAAAAATGATCAATTACTTATTACTGAATAAAATATCTAATAATAGCACTTGTCAAGTTGTCAGATTGGGCTTAATAAACCTGAGTGTCACCAAGGAAATGCAAAGCTCAAATTTTAGTTGCCATTTTCTTTGTATTTCTAGGTATCAAATTACTCATCTTTTCTCATTATATGAGTAAGGCATTACAATAAAAAATGGCAAATTATGCAGATAAATGCACTGTAAATCGGCATGCCATTTTATAAATGTAAACAATTAGCATAGCAAATAATCACTGTCCTATCATTTGTATTTAAAAATTATGCACGAATAAAACTCTTAACTGTCTTGAGATTTGGGAAAAGGATAGGCACTGGTAGAGTAACTGATTTATCACCCTAAGCTCTCAGAGCAGTGAGTGCTATGGACTCCTGTGCTATCAGGAGGCGCCTAAGGCCTGACCAGTCCCAATGCACTGGAATGGACAGTCAGTCACCACACTGGGCCTGACCCGTCCCAATGCACTGGGTGGACACTCAGTCACCACACTAGGCCTGACCCATCCCAATGCACTGGGTGGACAGTCAGTCACCACACTGGGCCTGACCCGTCCCAATGCACTGAGTGGACAGTCAGTCACCACAGTAGGCCTGACCCGTCCCAATGCACTGGAATGGACACTCAGTCACCACAGTAGGCCTGACCCGTCCCAATGCACTGGAATGGACACTCAGTCACCACAGTAGGCCTGACCCGTCCCAATGCACTGGAATGGACACTCAGTCACCACACTGGGCCTGACCTGTCCCAATGCACTGGGTGGACAGTCAGTCACCACAGTAGGCCTGACCCGTCCCAATGCACTGGGGTGGACACTCAGTCACCACACTGGGCCTGACCTGTCCCAATGCACTGGGTGGACACTCAGTCACCACACTAGGCCTGACCCGTCCCAATGCACTGGAATGGACAGTCAGTCACCACACTGGGCCTGACCCGTCCCAATGCACTGAGTGGACAGTCAGTCACCACAGTAGGCCTGACCCGTCCCAATGCACTGGAATGGACACTCAGTCACCACAGTAGGCCTGACCCGTCCCAGTGCACTGGGGTGGACACTCAGTCACCACACTGGGCCTGACCCGTCCCAATGCACTGGGGTGGACACTCAGTCACCACAGTAGGCCTGACCCGTCCCAATGCACTGGGGTGGACACTCAGTCACCACACTAGGCCTGACCCGTCCCAATGCACTGGAATGGACACTCAGTCACCACAGTAGGCCTGACCCGTCCCAATGCACTGGAGTGGACACTCAGTCACCACAGTAGGCCTAACCCGTCCCAATGCACTGGAATGGACACTCAGTCACCACACTGGGCCTGACCCGTCCCAATGCACTGGGGTGGACAGTCAGTCACCACACTAGGCCTGACCCGTCCCAATGCACTGGAATGGACACTCAGTCACCACACTAGGCCTGACCCATCCCAATGCACTGGAATAGACAGTCAGTCAACACACTAGGCCTGACCCGTCCCAATGCACTGGAATGGACAGTCAGTTACCACACTAGGCCTGACCTGTCCCAATGCACTGGGGTGGACAGTCAGTCACCACAGTAGGCCTGACCCGTCCCAATGCACTGGGGTGGACAGTCGGTCACCACAGTAGGCCTGACCCGTCCCAATGCACTGGAATGTACACTCAGTCACCACACTAGGCCTGACCCGTCCCAATGCACTGGGTGGACACTCAGTCACCACAGTAGGCCTGACCCGTCCCAATGCACTGGAATGGACACTCAGTCACCACACTAGGCCTGACCCGTCCCAATGCACTGGAATGGACACTCAGTCACCACAGTAGGCCTGACCCGTCCCAATGCACTGGAATGGACACTCAGTCACCACACTAGGCCTGACCCGTCCCAATGCACTGGGATGGACAGTCAGTCACCACACTAGGCCTGACCCGTCCCAATGCACTGGAATAGACAGTCAGTCACCACACTAGGCCTGACCCGTCCCAATGCACTGGAATAGACAGTCAGTCACCACACTAGGCCTGACCCGTCCCAATGCACTGGAATAGACAGTCAGTCAACACACTAGGCCTGACCCGTCCCAATGCACTGGAATGGACAGTCAGTTACCACACTAGGCCTGACCTGTCCCAGTGCACTGGGGTGGACAGTCAGTCACCACATGGGCCTGACCTGTCCCAACATACTGGGGTGGACACTCAGTCAACAAACACACTTATTGAAAAGCTTTGCTTTGTTCTAAAATCACATGTACAGATTCATGCAGTACTTTTGGAAAATTTTTGTTTCTAAGATGATTAAAGGACATTCCAAACCCAAATGTTTATATTCAGTAGAGGAATTTTGAGCAAAGACTGGAAATTAAATGCTATCAGAGGGTTATCGGTCTACTTTGTAATGATTATGCTGTGTTTGCATAAGAGAATGTCCTCAATTTTAGGCAATGCACATAGCTGTACAATAATGTGTTGTTTTAGATGCATCCTTCAGTTGACCTACGAAATACACAACATTAAGGCTGATAATTGGTATATTTGTGTCCACTACTCCATCCTTTCAAATGTATTTTAAATCTGGAATTCCTCATGATAAAATGTTAAGAGGAAAAGGCTATTAGAAAACTATGTGGTTACAGGTAGGGGGATACTATTGTTAGAAAAACCAGGACCAAAAGGATGGTTACTTTTGTAAACTAGGCAGAAATTTCTTCTTGCAATATTTTCCTAATTTTCCTAATTCCTGGGACAGGTCAGGCCTAGTGTGGTAACAAGTGTCAGGCTAGAGGAGTCGTTCAGTAATGGAGCATCTACCTGACACAAGGCTGAGTTCTCTCCTCAGTTCAAAAGATACAACAGAAAGAAAGAAAGCAATGTTAACGATATTCAAAGCAAAATTGTTTGAAGACTCATTTTTGTAACATTCTGAAAGTATAGCAATAAATTTGTTCACAGTACGTTCAATATAGAAGTAACACAATCACTGTCATGCCTGTTTCTTGACGTGTCTTCTCACAAGATTTTCAGAACCAAGTCATTCCTGGCCTAGAAACAAAAACAAAATGATCCTGTTCCCCAGGGGATTCAGATGAAAACTGGTAATATCAGAAGTTACTGGAGCACACCCAAGCTGGGGATTTGAGGATTCAACACGATGGCGTGAATGTTAATGCTAAACTGTGCTCAACACCAGCTGGACCAGATGAAGATAAAAGTTCTTTACCTCTGGAGGTTTGGGTGTGTTGAGCTGATCTGTTCAGATACACAATCGGGCAAAATTCCTAAGATTATATCCATTTTATAACTATAGCATTTGTGGAATGAAGTGTACAGAATTTGGAGGGTTATGTCAAAAAATAAACAAATAGGCCGGGCGGTGGTGGCGCACGCCTTTAATCCCAGCACTTGGGAGGCAGAGGCAGGTGGATCTCTGTGAGTTCAAGGCCAGCCTGGTCTACAAGAGCTAGTTACAGGACAGGCTCCAAAACCACAGAGAAACCCTGTCTTGAAAAAGCAAAAAAATTAAAAAAATTAAAAAAATAAACAAATATACAAAACAGAACCCAGGGTTTGCCTTATTTTAAATTTTTCATTCTGAACTCTAATGGTTTTATATAACACATTTTTAAAAAGCTTGTCATCAACGGTTACTATAATTTGATCCTGAAAGTAGTTAATACCCGTTCGATTCATTAAATAATTGAGTAACTGATTCATGCATACCTAAATTGGGATACCCACAAATTTTTTTGTCAGCTACAATTATAAAATTACGTGAAAATTGTGTTGCTGTAAATACACCCAGCGTAAGGTTTGGAATAAAAATACACAGATAACGATGGTATAGGCACACTACCTGTCATATAGGACGGGCATGTTTCATTAGAAAGAGACGGTTCCAGAGTCCCAGGCAAGGAAAGAGACTGTTGCCTCACTTAGGACGCTGGAATCTGCTAGAAGGTTTCCGAAGCCCCTCAGACGGGACCCGCAGCGCCCGATTTCCCAGTTGCTATGCTTAGTTGCTAAAGCACCAACTGTCGCGCAGGAAGAGCGAACTGTGCGCTCCTTTTGGGCGCCGTGTAAATTGTCTCAAGAGCGAGCTCTTTGGTTCCGGAATGCGCATATCTTCCCTCGGAGAAACCGGAAGGCGGGGAGAACCAGGAGTGACGCTCCTGGGCCGCGGAGGACTGTGGGAGGAGGCTGTCTCTAATTTCTCCTCCTCCCCTCCCCCCCTCCGGCCAAGATGTCTGACATGGAGGATGATTTCATGTGCGATGATGAGGAGGACTACGACCTGGTGAGGCGCGGGGAGCGGGCCCAGGGCTGGAAGTGGGGTGTGGCGGCGGGGCCGAGACCGAGGGGCTGCAACTTTCCCCCGGAGCGCGGCGGCCCCGGTCCGCCCTGCACGGTGACGGGGTTCTCTCCTCGCCGGGCGCCGCGGGCCTATCGGGCCTGGGAAGAGAGGGAGGGGGGCGGCGGTCGGCCCAGGCCTCGGGGTCCGGGAAGGGCGCAGGTGGCCGGCCGCGGCCGGTTCTCGACGCCTCCCTGCCGGCCGCCGAGTCGCTGGGACCCGGCGCTGAGGTCTGGGTCCCCGCAGGCCCACCTCTTCTTCACCCTGGACCTCAGCCGGTGCCAGATGCTGGGAGGCTGGAAACTAGGAGGGGGGCGTCCATCCTGCTCCCAGACTTGGCTGCGAAACTCGGGAGGCTCCCGAAAACAGCTTAAGAGATTCATCCAGGGTCAGTTTGGGTCCCAGGTAAAGGTTCAGAGCAAAAATAGAAGCGGAGAAAGTAGTTAAACTGCTTGTTCTGTTCTCTAAAAAATGACAAGCTGAGAAGGGTTTGCTTTTTGTTTGCTTGGGCTGAGGAGAGGCGAGGATTAAGGGAATTGGAACCAATGACTTTTTTCCTTGATTTAAGAAATTTCCCAGCGTCGGTGTTTGAATCAACAGGATAGAAGTAAACAAACTTGCCTAGTTTGAGGATGTGATTTCTTTTTTATTTATGGTTTAATTTGTAAATGAACCTACAGGTTTTTAAAGCTGAACCCTTGTTTATTATTATGTTGGTAGTCAAAAAACGTACATCTGTGTGAGAATTGGGAGCCATGCTCTTGAGCCCCTTGTTATGGTCAGTTTTGCTTCTTAATTGAGAAGCATTTTGTTTGGTCCTTGGGAATTACGGTGATGTCGCATTTTGGTAAAGTTGTCGAGTAGATGCTTGGAGAAGTCTGGTTCATTTTTTAATGTTCCACAGCCTCAGAGCGTGAATATTTGGGGTTTGAGTTACTGTGTGACTTCTTTGTATGGGTGAATCCGTAAATCATTTCCAAGGTTTTTTTAAAAAAAATTTTGCATTTTACAGAAGGGCATATTTTGCAAAAAGAAGAGGGAAATGCTGCGACTGGAGAGTCATAGTAGATATTTTAGTATTTGCTTAAATGTAGCATTTTGTTGTGTTTGTTCATGCGTGAGGCAGTACCTAAGGGGATACCTCCAGCTCCTTAATATGTTACTTGTGATAACTAAACTTTCCTCTCTTGTTTTGCTTTTATTTCTATTGCAGGTAGTTTTTAAATTGTCAAGTGTTTCTTTCGGATGTTTGTAATTTTAACTTGTCGTGTTTTTAAAAGCTTTTATTTCCATTCCTGATAATAATCTGTTAAGTACACGAATTTTTTAATGAGTGACTATTCACTAGGACTAACTTGAAGATACAATATAGGAATGAAGACGAGACTCTTATGAAATACTCTATTAGACTTCACTAGTTTGTGAATGTTTTCTGTTAAGGTCTCACATGTAGCCATGGCTTGCTTGGCACTCAGTCTTGCTTCCCAGGTGTTGGAAGTAAAGGCATGCATCACCACACCCGGCTTTGGAAGCTTTTTAATTAGACATATAGTGTTTGTACTTGGCTGCTTCCCTGCTTTTCAAGGCCTACTACATGCACAGTATAATAAAGCTAAGTATGCAGTTGCTTCAGCTGTTAAAAACATTAACAGAAAGAGTTAAGATTTTTACACTATTGCAAAATTAAATTAGATATTGATTTTTTTTCTTCCTCAATCATTCTTTTAAAAAGTTCTTATCCATTCCTCATATAGATACCATCCTAGATTCCCAGTCACATGTCTAGTGGGAACTGTTATACTCCTTTTACTAACAGTTAAATTTTAGTAGCATGACATCTTTCACATAATTTCTTTACATTTACTAGTCGGTATCCTTTAATCAGAATGTGTTTAAAAGGATAAGAACGACTGCCATTCCACAGCTGGTAGAGATGTTTTTCTTTTATTTGAGTAATTATTTTGCCTATATCTTTTTATGTTTCTTTTTTAGAAAGTCTACAGAAGTCACATGCTGTCTTAAGGAGGTTTCTCTCTACCTTTTCTTTTTTTTTTTTTTTTTTTTTTTTTTTTTTTTTTTTTTTTTTTTGGTTTTTCGAGACAGGGTTTCTCTGTGGCTTTGGAGCCTGTCCTGGAACTAGCTCTGTAGACCAGGCTGGTCTCGAACTCACAGAGATCCGCCTGCCTCTGCCTCCCGAGTGCTGGGATTAAAGGCGTGCGCCACCATCGCCCGGCACTACCTTTTCTTTTTAAGACAGAGTCTTACTAGTTTGCCCAGGCTGGCTCTGAACTTAGAGGATGGCAGGCTTGCAGCACCAGGCCAACCTAGAATCTTTTTTCTTTCCCTCTTTTTTTTAAATGTGTTTGCTAAAATAAAAATTGGCTATCTCTATTTTATTTGTTAAGTGGAGCTGGAGATATAACTCACTTGCTAGAGTGCTGCAATCACATTTCAAAAGCCCCAGGTTTGGCTTTTAGCACCACATGGACTAGATGTGGTAGCATACTTTTATCATCCTACATCACTTGGGTGGTAAAGAGAGGCAGAAGGAGAAGAGGCTCAAGGGCATTCTTGGCTACATACTGAGTTGGAGGCTGGACTGGACTACATGATTCTGTTTGAATTAACTCATTAATTAAAATGTTTGTAGGCAGATTTTTCTTTGGGCCACAAGCTCACAAAATACAAGGAGACTTACTAATTATGAAAACTTGGTCTTTAGCTTAGCCTTATTTTCAACTAGTTCATATAACTTGAATTAACCCATATTTTTATTAATCTTGTTCTATCCTGTGGCTTCTGTCTCTATCCCATTTTGTGTGTTTGACTCATTTCAGTTCTGGCCGGCATCTGTTTGACTCATTCCAGTTCTGGCTGGCATCTCTCGGGTGCCTAGATTCATCTGGAGTTAGCTCTCTCTGCCTGGAAGTCCTGCCTGTCTCTCCTACTTAGTTACTGGCTGAACAGCTTTTCATTACACCAGTGACAGCAATAATCTTTACACAGTGTACAAATGCCCACAACAAATGTTAATAGCACTATGAGCATTTCTGACCAGAGTGATACTCAGGATGTCTTTATCTTTTGTCCACAGATATTTTAATGCCTTAAACCACCTTTTGTATTAGCAAGGTATAGTGGAAATAGATGGCCAGGAACGGTCCTGAAAATTAAGAATCTGTCTCCATACTATTTTTACTTAATGTGTATGAGTGTTTTATCTGTGTATGAGTGCATGCCTGAGTACTGAGAACCTGCCTGGTGCCCAAGGAGGTTAGAAGAGGGTGTCAAATCCCTTGGAACTAAGGTACAGATGTTTGTGAGCCAGTGAGCCACAAACATGGGTCCTCTGCAAGAGCAGTAAGTGCTCAACCCTTGAATTATCTCTTCAGTCCCTTCCATACTATTTTTGTTTAAACTGGTAAATAATGATTTATGTCCAGTACTTAAAAGAGCAAAGAATAAATGTAAAAGTTCAGTACACTTGACCTCTTATTTTTTGCTGTCTTTTTTATTTTAATTATTGGCAAAAGTGGGCATTTTCTAAGCAGTATTAACCCATGTAGTGTTAGTTGTAGAGGTAAGAGATAGTACTAGCAAGATATAGACCACTTTTGACCATTGAGTCAACAATTGATAGAGTAGTATAATTAAGTACTTTAACAATTGTACCATAAAGTTACTTAGTGCTTCTAATAATATTTCTTGCATGTTTAAATTTTCATTTCCGTACTTATGTGTGCCATGATGCACATGTAGATTTCAGAGGACAACTGGGGAAGTTGTTTCTCTCCTACCACTGATCCATCTAACAGTTATAGAAATAATTTAAGCAAACTGACTTTATTTCCAAAGTTATTCTCTAAAATTCTGTTCTATAGTCAGGATATATTTGAGTGTAATTATTTAAATGAATTACATGGAAACTACTGTCTTTAAGATAGAATAGTTTCACCAAACTGTGAGTCTCATGTTTCCTTGGTCTAACTCATAGTTGGCATTCGTGAACGAATAGTTATTGGTGGTTTTTCTCTAGGCTTAATATATTTTAATGCCCTCAGATTTTGCTTTTTGTGTCTGTTTGGGTGGAGGATGAGATTTAGCCACAGATTATATCCAACAGAATCTCTTGCCATGGATACGCTTGCATGCACAGACCTAAAATTTTGTACACAGTCTTCATCTGCCCAGTTCTTATTACACCCTCATAAGCAACTATGTTAAACATCTGTGTCTCCTTCATTTATTTAATCAGGATATAGTTTATGTATTACTGAGATGCAAATTTACTTTTATAAATATTTTTACAAGTATTGTATTTACTTAGTGTGCTACATCGTGCCCGAGGAGGTCAATAGACAATGTGTGGGAGCCTGTTCTTTCCCACTATGTGGATTTAAGCTAAAATCCCAGTTGTCAAGCTTATCAGCAAGCACCTTTACCTACTGAGCCTTTTTGCCAGTTCACTGCTCTTTTTACAGCTCCAGAGATGATGTGGCGGTACTGTATTTTGTTTGACTGCTTTCCTGTTGGTAACAATTTGGCCTGTTTTTAGTCTGCAATATTGTTTTTGTAAAAAAGAAAACTGAGGCTAGAAAAGATGACTCAGAGGTTAAGAACACTGGTTGCTCTTCTAGAGAACCTGAGTTCTATTCCCAGCACCCATTGGTGGCTTA